AAAAATTTTCTATTGCTTCCTGCATTTGTTTGTCATTATCTTAACCAGTAAATAAACCCATCTGTAAAATCTGCAATATTTTCATTATGATTTCCTGATTATATGTTATTATAAGTAGAAATTCTGCTGTAGATCATAAAAATAATTATGTAAAGGCTTCCTACAAGTCTTTAAATCAGATTAAATAGTCATATGATCACTGAAACCAAATTCAAAGCCTTTTTTTCCCATTTTCACCCCCTAAATTTGCTTGTAAGTCACTTATGTGAAAACAGGAAACATAAAAAATCTTCAATTTGCTTTTGCTGATCTAGTGCAGTAAAATGTTCAAATGTCTCATTATCTTAACCATTAAATAAACCCATCTGTAAAATCTGCGATTATACTTTCATGTTGATTTCCTGATTATGTTATTATAAGTTGAATTCCTGTTTTAGATCACGTGGGACTGCTTAAAAAAAAAAAAGAAGTGGTTTTATCCACTTATTTGTAAATAACGTTTAATTCTAAGCTTTTTGACCCAATTAGTTTGTAACCCAGAATGTAGTTTGGTTGTTATTTTTAAACATCAGCTGTTATTTTTAAATCCTCAGACTCACTCATTGGCCTCCAGTGTTTTCCTCTCTATCGTTGATGCCATTCCTGCAGCAGCTTCAGCAGATCTCAGTCTTCAGCCTGCGGGACAACCTGCGGGACAACCTGCGGGACAGGCGCACCGCACCTGCTCCTTATTCTCTATCTCGCCTTTTTATATATATATTTAGACATAAATATAAAGTAAAAACCAAACATAAAACGGTCGCAGATAATGTTTCCTCTAAGCAGCGAAGCGATGATGAAGGACGCTGTCATCGGTGACTCAGAGATCCGGATCCGATCAGCGGCTCCCCTGCAGCGGATCTCCGTGATGACCGCAGGTCTGCGCTCCACATGCGGCCCCTGGTCTGCGCCTCATTGTGCGGACAGATAGACGGACAGACGGACGGAGTGCGTGTTTAAATAACGCCCCGCCCCCCTCCTTCGCTCTCCGCTTTCGTTTCCCTCTTCCTGTTCACGACCGCCTAACAATGGGGGGAAATGGGTGTTAAAGCGGCAGCTAGAAACGGCTGGCTGCTCCGGCAGCTGCGTCGTGACTCCGACTAATGAGTTCATTAGAAAGTTCGCCTGCAGAAGCTCTGATCGCTCACCAGATAAACCCTGGCCTGCTTTAATCAGCTCAACACCTGTGCCTGTTCCCTGATAATTAGTCAGCAACTGTGGAGGACCAGCTCTGCCATATTTACAAATACAGAAATAAAGAAATAAG